TATTTATATTTATATTTATATTTATATTTATATTTATATTTATATTTATATTTATATTTATATTTATATTTATATTTATAAACACCTATCAGTCAGTGTCATTTCTCTCTAACCTGCCCCTAAGAGATATATCAACAAGAACCTGGTTTTCCCTCACCTTCTGGAGTGGGTTGTAACAGCAATGAGCTTTGAAATAACTATATTCTCACCCAAAAGATTGACCTATCTACAGACATTGTTGATTGTCATCAGTAAAAAAAAATAGACAGCAAATATTTTTGTAAAATTCTAACATGTTAGATAGTTAATAAAACTGTTTTATTGTAAATTTTAGGCAGATTTGTAATAAGAGCCATCTGAAATCTGCACCTTTGCTTGAAAATAATTTGAGAGGGCAGAGTGCAGGTTATTTTTAGTATCCCAGAGGAGGGTACTTGATTTTTCTGACTAAAATATAATTTTTTGCTTGAGGATTGATAAAAAACAATGAAGCTGGAGAAGAAGCTGGGTTTAAATCTGTCAGAGAGAGGAAGGCTGCTCCAGCACAGAGGAAGGAGGGAGGGCTCCAGCCTCTGGAAACTTGAGAGAAGGGAGTGAATTTTCCTGACATTTTAAAAAGGAATGTTGTTAGACTTACCTTTGGCAGAGGTTCACAGCAGTTTCAGTCCATCCATGGTTTTCAGTGCCCCAAGAAGGACACATGCTTTTCTGATGGAGAAGGTGAGAGAATACAGCCTTCTATGATGCTATTTCAACTGTGAAGCTTATATAATTCCCCATTTAGTCTTCTGGGGAGTCCCAATGAGACATACTCTTCATGCTGAGGTGATTTCTCAAAACTCTAACTTCTACTATTGATCAAGCTTGCCTTAAGCTTTTCAAATCCTTTCCCGCATTCTGTCCAAAGTTACTTCCCTTTTCCCATAGATGAGCTTACTCCCCTCCCTATGCACAGTCAGATCAGCTAACTGGAGAATCAGTCAGACCTCTGCCCTTTCAGTTGCAGACCTTACTTTTCTTGCCCCCACCCTTACCAGTGCATTTCATCATGCAAGTAGTGCCACCAGCTTTACTGACGTGAGAGTTTTCACATTTGCCCAGCTGATTCAGGATTGACATCACTCCTTCAAACTGTTCCCTACATTAGGCTGAGTCATGATAGTTTAGCCACTTCCACTTTGTTTTTATCTGGCAAATGCGTGTGCTAAATGTTTATCTTCCTTTTAAACCATTGTTTTTTGGTTTAAAAATGTTTTGTTTCTGAGGAATCATAGAATCATAAGCTGGTTCAGCTTGGAAGGGACCTCAAAGATCATCTCATTCCAACCCTCCTGCCATGGGCAGGGACATCTTGCCCTAGACCAGGTTGCTCCAAGCTGCAGGCAAACTGGCCTTCAACACTTCCAGGAGTGGTGAGTCCACAGCCTCTATGGATGACCTGTTCCAGTGATTCACCACCTTCTCAGGAAATAATTTCTTCAAATATAACCAATCGAAATCTACCATTTAAAGCCATTGCCTTATCTCACATAGATTTACCAATGCCTCCAGGAGAACTTTCTAAAGAGGTGTTTTTCTCTCAAAGCCATCCCTTCTGCTGGGTGAAATACTAACATTGATCATCTCCTATTAGATCAGACCTATGATGACATGGCTGGGTTTTGGACATATCCTTTGAACAAAAATATCAACCAAATCAGGAAAATTTGTGGTCAACAGGTCAATAAAGAAGGCTGCTAAACCGGAAAAGGACATGTCAATGTGGTGAAGATAGACTGCAGTCAGACTTGGGATCTTTTCTGCTTCCTTTACAGCTAAAGACAGAGTTGCTTTAATAGAGTGACTGGCCTCGATATGGGTGGAAAGCACACTAAGAGCTATTCAATATTTAGGGTTTTAAAAGCACTGTATCTTTTCTAAATATCTCATAGGAAAAATTACAACTTGAAAAATATAGGGCAAATAGTTGTTTAAAAGGCTTGGGGGAAAAAAAAGAAAAGCAGAATCTGCTTGGATAATATATCTCATGAACTTTGACAATGAATCAATCAATGAAGTACATCTAAGAATAAAATAGCCCAAATACAAAATTTCACTGTTAGAACGTGATAAGATCCATCTTCTGTGAAATACAGAAAGGCAGAGGAAGCACATAATTTATTTACTTCCTTAATATTTTCTCACACAAAACTCAGACTAGCTCAGACAGGAAGTGACTAACACAATTCTCTATGAGAGGGAGTACAGTACTGGGTAGGAAAGAAATGCAAGTACTTATGTGCTGTAGAAGCACAATTTCAGACTGATGCAGATCATCTTTCTAGGAATAATCAGGAAAATATTACTGCAACTTGAAAGGCAAAGGAATTCTTAAAAGAGAATTTTCAATCTTTTCTGTCAAGATATTTTTATCTATACAAATCAAATTCAACTATCATTATTTCCAAGGAAAATAAATACTCTGATAAAACAACACCCTCCTGCTCATTTTCATCCAGAAAGAATCCATTCCTGTTCACAGAGTTTAAAATTAGCACGGAATAAGTGAATACAATATGCAGTTTTAAGCCACACTTTAGAAATTAATTCCATCTTTGTTTTACATCCACTGTATGGAGCTTTAATTCTGGGGGAAAAAATACTAAATATTAAAATAAAATAAATTATTAAAATAAAATAAATTATTAAAATAAAATAAAATCTAGGACCAGGAACTAACAATATCTGTAGCTAAAAGCCTTTGCCTAATCTGATACAGAAATCAGCTGGATAGAAACCTTCTAGCACAGTTTTGAGTATTAGAAAGCAGACATTCTTCATTGCAGCATGCTGGTCACCCCAAGGATATTTCCTCTAATCAAGCATACTGAGCATCAGGTGAACAAAGATTGTATCATACATACTGATTACATATTCATTAGATATCCCCACCTCCTTGATTTTATTTTACATAATCACACCCCTTATTGGAAGCCCTAACGTGATTCTTTAGGCTCTGCCTTCAATCCCCAGTGTCCTTTTTAGGTGGCTGTTCCTCAGTCTACGTGTTCGAGTAAGCACAGTATCATTGCTCTGCATAACTTCTGCTTTGTCAGCCTTGGAGGGCTGAGCTGGCATCCTGCTTGCATGCTGCATGAGTTCTGTCTGCCTAAGTTACATCCTTTATCTCTTTCTTCAAGGCTGTCGTTCTGTTCTACTGTCCTTATCAAGTGAGGAAACTGCTGTTCTGCCCTACTGTCCTGATCAAAACTGTTTCCAATTTTCCACTTTTTAAACACTTTGTTGTACATTGAGAAAAAGGCTAAGGTGAAATGTTAACACCACAATAAATACCCACTTTGGTTGGAGACTGGATTTAGGTTTCAAACTGCGGTAGACTCCAACTCCAGTGTGGATTATTGCCTGATAAAGTGCTGTGACAAATAAACCACTCTGGTTCTCCAATGAGTAAATTAACCATGTAGTTAAATTACTATTTCTATAATTGCATGAATGAAAATGAGTTTAGTATAAGTATCATTACTTAGTGCAAAGTTTTCCTTCACCATATAGCCTTGTGTATATAGAAACAGATGTTTCCATATTTGAGTCACAGTCTGAAATAATAGCTCAGATGCATGAGTTTTGGAGAGTGTTTACTGTAATTATATTTTATAGAATACCAAAATCAAAGAAAGGTTTGGATTAAAAGGAATATTCAAGCATTGTCCAGTCCAACTCTGCCCCCAACCTGGTCTTGAACACTTCCAATGAAGGAGTATCCACAGGTTCTCTGAGCAACCTGTTCAGAGAGATCGGGGATTGCCCCAGCCTGGGAGAAGGACCTTGTTAATTCCATGAAGTTTACATGAGCCCATTCCTCAAGGCTGTCAAGCCCCAAGTCTCCTTCTGGATGCCACCACCTCCCCTTAATGCAACAACTGCACCACTCAGCCTGGTGTCATCCAGAAACTCACTGAAGGGTGCCCTTGATCCCACTGGCCATGGCGCTGCTGAGGAGGTAAAACAGTGCTCAACCAAGCAGGGACCTTTGTGGGGCACCAATTGTTATTGATTTCCACTTGGGCATCGAGGCACTGACTCTAAGTCTTTGGATGAGCCCATCGAGCCATCTAACCATCCATCTGTCAAACTGGCATCTCTCCAACCTAGAGGCAAGGCTGTTGAGGGGGACCATATCAGAGGACTTACATGGGAATGATTTGAAACTGAGTTTGAAATGTGTGGGCAGAAATGTGTTTCAGAGTTTAGAAAAATTTTCCTTCTGAAGTTAAGGTGTGTTTTTTCAGTATTTACAAGGGGGAAGAATTACAGGAGTAAAATAGACAAACCAAAGAACAGAAAGTCTAAATAAGGGATTACTGAGTGCCATCAAGAAGAAAAATTTTACCCTCAGGTATCTCCAAGTGGTCTTCATCTGTGTGCTGGCAATGCCCTGCTGCTTTCCAGGCCCAGTGAGTAATCAGCCTTTGTTTCTGCAATTTGGGAAGATTCTCAAAGTGGCCACATGATGGTAGCCTAGGATCAAGTACAAACAAGCTAAATCATGATAGTAAAGGCAATAAGGAGGAAAACTAATACTTGTAAACTGAAATAAATGTCTGGATGAGTCATCGCCACACAGTGAGGACCTGAGCTTTATTTCAGCTTTCAGGTATTGTAATATCCAGAACTGAACTGCCAAGTGTACCTACTGGATAGCCCTAGACTGAAACATGCTGTGTTTGCAGCTCTGCCCTCTTACAGACAAACTCATATCTAGCAAACTTCTGCTTACACTTTCCTTCCAGTTTCTTGATACCTCACATAAAAGATCACTGGTTTAAAATAGATTAAACCAGAGCAAGAAAATCAGAAATTAATGAAAGATTCTCTTTTGATTATTAGCCTCATGATTACTATAACTGCAATGTTTACTCTTGACATTAGCTATGAAGAAGACTAAATGCAAATTGTAGAATTCTTAGGTTTTAAATCAAAGACTACAAAGCTATTCATATAAAAGTTCATATAAAAGTTGTAAAATTATTCTGTTTTTAAGAAGAATTGACCCCAAAATCTGTGGTAAAATGTGCTGGTCTTGAAAAGGATGCCTTTAGACTAGTCTGGTATGCAACTTCTCTCCCTTTTATTAAGCAAATCAAATCATCCTTCAGACTGTATAGCAGCTAAGGAGAACTCCATCACCAGGTTGTCTGGCTTGGTGAAAATATCAATGTCTAGGGCAAACACTGATTGTGCTGATTGTGAGACTGATTGACAAGACTGGGATGCTTGTGTAATACCCCAATCCACTGCAGAGGTGGTCTTGGGTATAATCATGTCACCTTACATTCCATACAATAAATTAAATTGCTTATACTGAAAGAGATAGAATATTGTTTACTCTGCATAAATATTGAAGATTCCAATTTTTCCAATCTATATGAAAAATTTTATTAAGAAAAATTAGTTGAAAATTAATTAAGACTTTTATTCCAGCTCAGTTTCCAGTAACCTAATTCACTGTACCAGTTACACCATCACCCAACTTCTCTAGTGCTGGGACTCAGAGTTCCAAGAAAAATTCTGTTCTGAGAACAGAGCAGGGTCCAGTTTCAAGAATTGCAGAAACTGAGTAGTTATAAAAGTCTCAGTATTATCACAGTCCTCCAGCAGACCTCTTTCAATTCCTCTACAGAGCAGCAATGAGAAGTCCTTATTTCTGCAGGTCCTGAAATGAAATGTCATAGCAGGATACAATGTTGTCCTGCTGTTTACTGTATGAATAAAATTGAGGAATTGAGACCTAAAGAAGAGGAAATATCTCAAGAACCATCCCCTACCTATTCCTCCTCTGCCCAGAACAGCAACAAAAACAAAGACTGATGGGAATGAAGATGTACAAGATACAGACAAACAGCAGGACAGATTTTATATGATTTACCACTCATCCAGTGTGATATAACACCAAAGAGTAGTACATTCATTGAACATTAAATAATCAGATTTAAATGCTGTTGTCTACTTTAATGACTTCATTTTCTTGTTAAAATCATTTAAAGATGAAGAAGACTGGGGTCTCTCTGTTCAGACTGTACTATGGGGTACATGAAAAGGCAAGTTCTATGCTTCTCAGTTCCAGGAGACCAGAACAGACAAGTGACATGCTGTTGATTTGGTAGACTCAAGACATTTCATGCATACAGAAATTTTCCTGATCTGTGCATTGAATATACACAACCCAGAAAAATGTGTACACAAAGCAGGAAGGTTGTTGAGACTGGTGACATGGTTTGTTACCCACCTACAGGGAATGAGGCTGGCTAGTGCAAAGCTGGGAGCAGCTCTTCTGAAGGCCAGAGCAGTGGGCTGATACCCCTGTACAGGGCAGCATCCCTAAGCAAAAAGCAGAAAACAGTGGCATGGCTTGAAGCAATGATACCTGACCTACACCCGAGCCAGAAGGAAGGCCCACGTTCTCTACCTTTCAGGTGCTGCCCTGTACAAACCTCTGCATGAAAAATGAGTGACAGAAATGACTGAAAAATTATGTGAATCAAGTAATGAAGGCCGGGAGTGACCCTGCTTCTCCCTATGGTTTAAAGGAAGTAATGATAAGGGAAATGAGGCAATGAAATCACATTGTCAAATCGTGCAAAAATATACGCAGGCGAAGTCATAGTTTCTATCCTTTTTGTTCTCCATTGCTGTAAGCACCACAGGGAAACAGGTTTTCGAGGAGGAGGTAGGTTTCATTTTGTCTGTTTTTCTTTTCTATTTTCTTTTCTGTTTCTTTTTTATTATACTCCAAACAAGCTAGGCAAAGAAATACTGAGTTTTGTCATTTCTGTTAGTTTTAATGTTAAAATAACTGTGAGATGTGGATAGACACTACCTGATAGCAAATGCCTGTTTTCCTCTGATGAATGTCTTAGCCAATATTTTGATGGCATATTTTTTTATAATCTGAAAATGATTGTATAATTGAATTTTAAAACTTGCAGCGTTTCCAGTACTACTGGCCTCATCCACATAGCAGTATTTTGTTTGTTAAGCTAAACCTGAATTATAGAATTGGAGAGCCTGTGTCACTCTCGCTTGAAAGCACAGTCTGATTGGAAATGTTGGATTTTAGGTCTTTGCATCCATAGAGTAAAATTAATAAATGGAGTGAACGTTTTAAGGAGTACTGAATTTAGGCACCAGTAGAATGGAAGTATGTCAGTGTCCTTCTTTTTTCATGATTTTAATACTTTAGAAGATTTCATACACACAGCTCCCTGAAAATGCTGCAGGAATGCAGGCATGATTTTACCCTCATAGCACATCCAACATGGAAGCAGTTATTCCATTTCATATTTTCCAACTGATAAAAATGTCTTCCAAAATCTTTCAGAGGCAAAGCTGGGAAATTAATCTCAGAGGTCTAGCTTAATGTACTATACTCAACACAGGCTTTCCCTTAACAAAACATAGTCATATTAAAAACAAAGTATAAGTTTTGGGGGATTTTTTTAGTTACAAACTTCCCTTTTCATTTGCTATAAAAATCATAGTGGGATCAACATATGATAAAATAGATTGTTGTGTGTTACTCATAATCAGCAGGATTATGGACAGTTTTTATTCTCATCTAATCAGGACAGTTTTTATTCTCATCTAATCACTCCTCCAATCAACCTAAAGGAGATTAGACACTGCAGTAGTATTTCAACTTCTAAATTCCTAATATGACTATCCCCTGTGGAAGGGTTTTAGGGTTCAGGCTTCTCTGAGAAATAACTTGTGCTGTAGCACAGAGTCTAGAAGCAGCCAATTTTCATAGAAACTTTATAAACTACGGTACAGGAAGGAAACAACTTCACATAGAAATACTTTAATTTTCCTAAATATTTTCATCAATAATCTGCACAAGACCTATTTGAGATGTGGAAGGATGTTTGAAACATCTCTGGGGAAAATAGTACTGTTCTTCTACTGCAACAGTTTTTCTAAAGAGAAGCAGCGCATGATACTTGCACTGGTATAAGAATGAGGAGAAAAAGACATTTTCAATGATTCAAATTTTCATTTGAGAAAATAATAGTGACAGTATTTTTGTTTAGTAATTGCATGTGAATTTCAGATGATGTAAGAAAGAAAAGGAACGAATCCTCTTGGATTTAGCTGACAAAGGTGAATAGCTAGAGAGATTCCTCTAGGCTACGTTTTCAGTGAATGGCAAAAAACCAAATATGGTGAAGCCTTCATTCATCTTGTCCTAGACTAGATTGAACAAACTGGTCTAAAGTAGCTGTGTTTTTTTCCTGGCAGTGTTAAAGCAGCATAGAATTACTGGCTTCCCTATGAGTATCTATACAACTTTTCAGTAAGTTTAGGTAAGACAAACTCCACCTCACACCTAACAGCATCTTCAGAGTTAAACTGAAAGGTTAAAGCAATTTAATTGCGCGCTTTTTTTTCAATTTATTTTTAAAATTTCCAATATCAAGTATGTTATTTAACATCTTTTATAAAGTATCTGGTCAATTATGTCTAAGATTCAACAGTTTATTAATTTTTTTACTTGAAGAATTTCTGAATAAAAGTCCTTCCCTGCTAGTAATGTTGGTAATCACAAACGATTGCAGATTTTCTTCTCTCTGGTATTTTTCTGAAGCTAAGGTGCTTACACTGTTTCTGATGTCTGCCCAAGAGATGGAGATAATCTAAGTTGACAAAATAGCCATAAACAAACAAGCCAATAAATAAACACACTCTATGTACTTGAAACAGTGGATTGTTATGCGGTTGTGTTCTCAGTTAAGTATCTTGCTTCTTTCATGAAAAGAATGTCAAACATTTAAAATATATCTAAAGATAGTAAAATATGTGAAAATAAGATATTTGTGTCTGAAATAAAGGATGCTTCAGAGGATATTAACATACTTGCATATGTGTTTTACTATCATCATCAAATAATAAACTAAGTGATTCAGAAAAATGAGTGCAATGCAGAGAAACTAAACTGGTTTTTGCATCACAGCTCACAGAAAAGACTAATAAGAATATGGCCCTACCATTTTTTTAAGGAAATAAACATATGTAAGGGACAAATATGGGACATTTCAAATAGGAGTGGTTAAGCAAAAAGACACTAGAAAAATTTAGCTAGTCCTCAGAATAAACTGGAGGCAGAAAAATATCGACGTCTCTTTGAAATAATGCGAGATAAAAAGTCTTCTCATGAAGACTAAGCTCTATTACAGGTGTTGCTAAAAATAAAAGGGTAATGCTGACAGTGTTGGAGGAATAGAGTAGGCTTAAAAATAAACCTTACAGAAAGTGTAGTGGCATTTATACACTTTGCTAGATTTTGTTTAGCATAACCACAAAAATGTGAATAAATAAAAAATGAAAAATAAATGCCCTAAAACCTTGGAAAAAAGGTCCAGTCAGAAACGGGTATAGAGACACTCATACGGATTCACTGCATATGCCTGAATATTTCCTTTGTTGTTGAACACTTCAACTGCTTGTTGGCCCACAGAGGATCCATGTTGTGAACTGATTTTAAATCAGAATGACCCTTTTTTCATTAGATTTACAGCATTGCTAAAGGCTTGAGGAATCCCATCTCTCTTAGACCCTTGCACAGCACCTATGATCATACTTCAGACTGCTGCATTTACCCAGCAATTTCTTCATGGGAAGGCAATTTCTCCATTTGTTTTGTAAATGAGGAAGTGAAGTGCAGACTTGGTTGGCCCTGGCTCATAAAGGGAGTCTGTGGCAGACCAGAGAACTGATCCAAGCTCTCCATCACCTCATCACAGCCCCATAATCACTGATCTCTCAAAAGCAGTTTGTTAAATACATATAAACTTACACATAAATTGGATACAGACAACTCTATGCTGAGAGCTTTCATACCTCTAGTGACTAGGTATGGGTCAGTATTTGTTACAGCTACAGTTCTCTTAGCTGCTAGCCCACACTCTCATCTCAGATGAGTTTGTTCCACTGTTTCTGATAGAGGATGAAAAAAAAACAACCAAAAGAAAAAAAGCTGCTGAGAGAAAAATTAGTTGTAATGATGATCACTTGTTTAAAGTTACTCACTACAGGGCCCCACAAGAAGTGGTATTAGCACAGCCAGGGGAGCAGGATGGAATCAGTCAGGATCAATGAAAGATGGGAAAACAGGGCATGCTTAAGCCAACACTGCCATTGAAAGAAATTCTGCTGAACTAAGCTCTTGGAAAAAGTTTCAACTTTCCTTTTGGAAAAGAGAAAGATTTTCAGAAATCCAGGAGTACTTTGACAGTTTTCTCATCTCTTTAAAAGCTTCTCTTTATTTCCAAAGACGTGGAGTTTTAGGGCTAACTAGAGAGATACATGCAAAGGTTGTGTGTGTGGTGCTTAAACTCGATGAGTAGTGGTTGGACTAGTCTTGGGAAGCAGTGGCTCAGTCCTTCAGTTCACAATGGTAGTAGCTGTTGAGGTACTGAATGTTCACCATTTCCTGTTGGAGATCTCACCTTTTGGTAGGGGAGAAACACACAAGGAATTCAAGCAGGCTGTGAGTACAGGTTGCGAATTAACTTAAGCAAGCTATGAACTTCAGCGTCAACTTTGTTTTTGTCAGATTTTACACCAATTAGGCAGATATTCAGGCCTGTACCAAGTTCAGTGATAATAAGATTCCCTCTTGAATCCAAAGTACTGGAAGAGACTAACAGCTGGTTTCAATTCCTAATTGAAAAATATATAATCCTCTCTTCAAAATTGCAACACTTCTTCAGGGATCAGCTTCAGGAAGCAGTCTCAGGTTTAGATTGTAACTAGCCAGCTGTCACACAGAAGAAAGTGATGGGCATCTTATTTCAATTATTAGTGGTTTATAACAAGGGTCAGAACATTTAAGCACAGCAGAGAGAACTTTGCCACCCTGCTCGTGGCTGTAGAATTTACACTCCACTGTAGACTGGGCCACAGCTAAAGGGGGGAACTAAACAAAGGACACCACAGTAACTGTCTCTGTTATTAACTTCCACTAAATCCCTGTGCTTGAGCTGGCTGAAGACTCAGTTAAATCCCAGCCATTTATATGGCTTCTGGAACAATGACAGATAATCCTCATGGCTCAACACAAATAAAATCATTGCCATCTTCAAGTAAGGACAAAACTACAAGACCAAAATAATATACAGTCAGATTTGCTAAGCAGGTAGCTAAAAATTTGCTAAATAAGCTTGCAAGATCTCTGTTATTTGAGCAGTTATTCACTCTTTCTGCAGAGTGGACAGGGGATCTTCTTTCTGTGTTCGCAGGAATGAATGGGACAGCCATTGAAAATTTTGTTTGTGTCATTTTTAATGTTTCCTTCATGAACTGCACCTGGCATGTGGGCAGGACTGCTACAGAAGATACCCAATATTTCCTGTACTGGAGGCCCTCGGAGTAAGTAGGTTTGTTTGAATATTGGGAATTTTGATTTGTGGTTGGACGTGTGACATTGCCAATTTTTTATTTATACAATATTTCATGTAAAGGAAAGAAGATGTCACAGAATGCCAAAATTACATCAAAGATAACTGTGGAAGGCACATAGGATGCAAATTTCAAAATGTGACAATAAAAAATAAAAATGCTTATTTCCTGGTAAATGGGACCAGCAGTGAAAAAAGCATTCAGTCATATGAGAAAAGGATACAGCTATACCAAATTGGTAAGCATTTTTTGTTTATTTAATTTCCAGTTATATTTTAAAAGAATGAAGAATTAATCCCTGTGGAAAAGCATACATTTAAAAAATACTGCTCCCCATAACAGGTTTGGGTTTTTTCCCTTTTTCTAAGCCCTAAAGTATAAGAATGGACAAAAACTAATGAATACAGAAACAATCTGGAATCATAAGTCAGAAAATTTTGAACATTTCAGTCAAATATTTATTCTCCGAGAGAAAGGTGTCATATTTTAGAATTAACTAGCTAAGAATTCCTGAGTGGACTATCTAGATGTTGGTCTTATTATCTCATAATGCTGTTCATCCACATAATGAAAAGAACCAGCTACCTTAATACTGTGAGCAAAAAATTCCATTTTTTTAATTGGAAGAAGGTTAATAAAAAAAAATCTGTTTAATTTGAATACAGTATCAAAAAAACCCAAAACTCTTAAAGCCAAGAAATAAAATCAAACCTTCTTAAATCATATGCAGAGTTCAGTAAAATGTAATAAATAGCTTGTGTTTTGTAACGAATGGCTTGTTTCCTTATTGTTGTAGCTGGTGCTCCAGGCTTCTCAACTGTGATGTTAAATCAGGTGGTACTGCTTCAGAATATGGGAACAATATCGAAATTCTGCTAAAGCTGCATTACATCTTTTTAGTTGCTTGAGCATCTACCTATATTTTTAAAACAGTAAAGTGAAGAAAGTTATTACTAATCAATAGTATTTCTGATTATATTATTGTAGAAAAACTCACTCCTCCACTAAATGTCACAGTGAACTGTACAGAAGCTTCTCGTAGATGTAGCATTTGGTGGCAACCACCTCGTACAAGTCATGTGAAAAATAGAAAATGTTTCAAATATGAAATTGTCATAGAAAACAAGGTAAGAATAATTATGACATTTAATTGCATTTTGTTTGTCTCTATTTCCACACATAACACCATACAAACAGTACCTTGTTCTCATCCCCTCCTTTTGAAAGCTTGGATGAATATGGAAAGTAATATCACATCCTTCAAAAACAAAGTTCAAAATATTTGTTGGAATATTTGTGAGCTTTACTGTTCCAACAGTAAAAAATTAAAAACAAAAAACCAAGCAAACAAAATTTTAAAATTATAAAAAAAGAATAAAAAAGCTTAGCTAAATTAAATGTTCAAGAATGCAAAAGATACACAGGAAAAAACATTGTCCGAGTTTATTGTAAATTTTAGATACTTTCTTTTAACAATTAAAATGTAAACATTTTGTCAAACTGTGCCCTTTTTTTGTTTAGTGCTTTGATACTTAATTCTACAATTAAATTTAAATGGTACAATATTTCAGAGCATCAGTGGAGAGTTTCAGTCTTTAAAAGAAGACATTAAAAATATTACATACACTTTTTCTTTCTGAAAATCAAACATTCATGGGAGAAGACCCTTTGTTATATAGTAACAAAAAGAATAACCCTAAAAATTAAACTTTTCTTTCTAGGCTGATGCTGAGAAAAACACTAAAACTGCATCTAAAACAGTAAGTCTGTATTAATCTAACATTTATGCTATATTGAAATTTTTCTGCATCAGAGCATCTTTTAACCAAATTGGTTTGGTTTCGCACTGCCTGTTTCAATGTACACACATGCTCATTAGTGATAAGTTTTCTAAATCTGAAGTTTTGAACTCTTGTTTGTAAAACTTGGTACAAAAACACCTGCACATATGGAGTTTGATATTACCTCACAAAATCTTCCATTTTGCATTTTTTTTTACTTCTTAGCAGATTCATATATATGTAAAAATATGGATCATGATTCTGTATAACACAAAAAAATATGGAGAATTTTTTTTTTTAAAGCACTCTCTGGAAAGGATTGAGATGTAGGAGGCAAGAAAATATTACCTCAAAGATTAGGCCAATATAAATATGGCAGAAAAAAAACTAACTTTTTACTTCTGTATGCTCTGGCTATCGAACTCTACTTCAGTTTTGAAAATATCCACTGTAACAAAGGACCAGATCTTTAAAGAATTTTTTCCCTAAAGTCCCATTGCTTAGCAGAGTCTAAGGAGCCAGGGAAGCATATGGCAAATTTCATCTTCATATAACCCATAATAAAAATGTTCAAACAAGAGGAACCAAGATGAAACAATCTAACTTAATAAGGGATATTTTTCTACTTATTTTTTCACTCAAGTCCATCCACAGAAATATTATATAAATGTAAAATATAAATTTTATCATAATTATGTAAAAATAATACAAAAATTCTCATTCTTATTTTGCATTTAGAAAGCAATCATTGAAGAAAACTCCTACCTATATGAAAGCTTCAGCTCAGGAGAAACGTACAGCGTCAAAATCAGAGCAAGAGATGTGGACATTTGTTTAGTAAGCCGAAACTGGGGAGAGTGGAGTACACCTGTGGAGTTTGGTAAGAATAAAATTCCCTTCCTTGACCTTGTTCAGTTATTATCTGTCTGTCTCATTTTTTACTTCTTTCTTACAGATGGAAATACATCGATAATTGCACATTAATTTGTTAGGACAAAGAGTTGAAGAATTGCCATGTCTCTTAATACTGGGGAGTTCCCCAGTCATTGTTGGGAGACAGCTCTTCTTGCACAGGGATAGTGAATGAAACAGACCTTTTTGAGGTCTGTTGCCAGCTGTTTTACTTCTTCCATCTTTGCTCCTGACTTTATAAACTCCTTTTTCCTGCTGTTGCTCTCTCTGCTCTCACCTTGGATTTTTAAATACTCTGTAGGACTCAGTTCCTCAGGTCTCAAGCTCCTTGGACAGTTCACATCCTACTCCTTCACATGCTACAGGGCAGTGTGGTACTGAGCTAAAGAAATCATTCCTTCACACAGTGTTTGACATTCTGACACAAAGTAGGTTGCACATAGCTGTGCACTCTTTCATGTCCTGTGATGCTAACCAGTACTTTGATGATTGCTTGATTTTCAGGAACACAACAACTTACATCCACTTCATCATATATGCTATTTCTGATACCAGGGCTGGCAGCAGGTCTCGTGCTTTTCCTCTGCATGACAGTGTAAGCCTTATTTCTTGTGCAAAAATTTTATTCTAAAGTTGAAATAACCCTTCTTCCCCCAGAAGAAAATTTCTGGCTTCTTTTTAAAGGAGACAAGGGAGGGAGAAATTCAACACTGAGCTGTACTAGGAGCTGGATGTTCCTCAAGTGTGCTCTATACTTCTGATTCCCAACTTTCTAAATACTAGATTAATATAACACAATGATTTCCAGTACTGAGACAAGGCCTTTTATCAGTACCTCTTTCCTACCATCAGACCCTACAAAGTAGATTGGTGGCATATGAAATTTTTTCCATATTTTGACATTTCCTTTTCACATACTTGAGAAAAAAACTTCCTATGAGACCTTAGTAAGTAATAAAATTAATTATTGTCATTCTAATTCTGAAGGAGAAAATTACAACATTGTGTTCAGCCTATGTAATTTTTAGCTACTTTTGAATCAGAAGAATACTACTTATGTCTTAGAGAAATAAGATATTACTTCAGGAGCATTATTATCTACTATGTGTTCGTGTGTTTACAAACTGAGTCTTTTATTCACTAAACCTTTTTGTTACTGTAGGAGGATTTATTTGAAAAAAACATCTGCTACAGTACCACAGCCAAGAGACCCATTCCGTGAGACCTCTCCAGTGGACTTTCAGGTATTCTTTCTTTCCATTTGCCTGAAATTCAAAAATTTAGTCTCAAGGGTATGACCTAACTGTCAGAAAGATGCACACAAGCAAGAATTATTTGTCTTTTCCTTGTTCTTGGGATATGGACAGAAAAAGTCCAAATGCAAATAACTTGTCTGTTTTAACTTTTCCATTATGAAATAATTGTCATCTGTCTACTTGGAGCATTGGAGTAAATACAGTTTCACCCTGCTCTCCCTAAAAGCTATATGCTATCACTAAAATAATGCTGAGCATAAGTTTCTCAGCACAATAATAATGCAGAATCAGGCAGGGAGAGAAGGGCCAAATAAATCTTCAGTAGTTTTGCCGTGCTAGTATTCGACAATGATGCTAAAGGAGATAAAAATTTCTCGGGTATGGTAAGCAAGAAAGTATAGCAGAATGCTGAGAGGTGCTAACTTATGTGGAACGCTGGAATGACCCATGAGAAGGAGCAAACAGACAAAAGCTGCAGGAACTGCCCTTCAAGCGAGTGTGTTACAGCTTCCTGCAATTTGCAAAGTCTTTAGGTAGGCTGCAGGCAGGTCTGGAAGATAAAATTTGTCTATAGGGACACACTGAATTACTGGCGTGCCTTTATAAATCTTTTTATTTTCTCTTCCTTCATCATGTTAATTTTTCTATGTTTTAAAAGATGATTTTCCAGCTTTTTAGTTAAAAAGTCTTTGTTCCTCTTTGGGAGCTATATGGAGGGAAGATCTAGACATGTCTACTTTGGTCTTCTAATTGACAGAGCCCAGCTACAAGTTTTATACAATAAATAACAAATCTGAATGACAGGAGATTTGTAAGTCAGGACCTTGTGACTAATCTCATGCATGAAATACTAACAAAATGTTATATTCTTCCTTTAATAGAAAGAATATATGAATCTATTAAAAAAACAAGGAACTGAAGAAATAATAGATATTGAAGAAATGATGGAATGCAAGTGAAATGAGCAACTTGATTTTTTTCAAGCATATATACCTTGTTGGCAAAAATTAACAGGTTTTTTATATTCTCTCACTCCTGGAAGCAGGGAGAAGAACACTGACTGTAGAGATAACTGCCCAAAATGTTATCTCTAAAAGCCTCTTTGTATTTGGTTGCATTTTCTATGAACAGTTAAGTTTGTATTATTTCTGTTTTTTATTGTGATGAATATCACAGCATTTCAGAAAAAAAAATTCAATATTTCTTTGGAAGTTATTATACCGTTTTTCAACACCATGCAAAAGAAAAAGTAAGAACAACCAAACTTAAGGGGTTTATTCAGGATCTCCATTGGTTTAGTGTCTTGAGAAAGTACAGCTGTACTGGGATTGTGATCAACAATAAAATTTGACATCAGTATGAAAGCCTGCTGTATGAAGACCAGCCAAGATCAAACCTCTTAAGAAGCATCACTTGCTCATGCAGAGTGAGTACTATTAAAGATCTCACTATACAATTTTCCCATAAGTCTATTTGTTGCCTCTCGTTTTTCATCCTTTCTTATCTGTGTTAGACGAAAAAATTACTTAACGTATGATTGCTAACAGGTAGCAGATGTACATATGTAAATGTATTGAGTGGGAAATGTTGGAAATTGAACATTTGAACTCTCCAGCAGAAGCCTGTCACTTACTAATTGCAAATGGTACAAGCCAGTCTGTGTTTTTATAACCCTGGATGAAAGAGAAGTGTAACAGCCTGAATCCTCCAATGAATAAGGGAGTATGAGAGAAAAGAGGGTATGAGAGGTAAAGGAAAAGGGGTATGAGAGTTTTGGGGCTAATCACATATTTTGACCTTCCATTTGCATGAAATTGAACATGAGTCAGCAGTGCCCTGGCAGCCAGGAGGGCCAACCCTGTCCTGGGGGCATCAGGCACAGCATCACAGCCAGGCAGGGGAGGGGATTGTTCTGCACTAGGACAGCCTCACCTCCAGTTCTGGGGCAGTTCTGGGTGCCACAACATAATAAAAATATAAAGCCATTAGAGAGGGTCCGAAGGAGAGCTACAGAGATGATGAGGGGCCTTGAGGAGAAGCTGCATGAGGAGTGGCCAAGGTCATTTGGTCTGTCCAGCCTGGAGAAGGACACTGAGGAGAGACCTCATTGCACTTGACAACTTTCTTGTGAGGGAAAGCAGAAGGGCAGGCACTGATCTCTTCTTCTCTGTGGTGACCAGTGACAGGACCCAAGGGAATGGCCTGAAGCTATGTCAGGATATTAGGAAAATGTTTCTCACCCAGAGGGTGGTGGGGCGCTGGAACAGCTCCCCAGGGCAGTGGTCACAGCACCAGCCTGACAGAGCTCAAGAAGCCTTGGACAACACTGTCAGGCACATGGTGTGACTCTTGGGGGTGTCCTGAGCAGGGCCAAGAATCGAACTCAATAACTCTTGCGGGCCATTTCCAACTCAGGGTATTCTATGATTCTATAATTCCATCAAGTCTTAAGATGGTTAAAGTCATCTCAAGTAGCTGAAATCCTACCATGGACAATAAGTCCTCTCAGTGACAAAATTCCACTGGACCAGGGTACTGTCAAGGGACTATCTTTGGAACTAAATTTTTCTATGGTTCTGTGTTTCTAAATGAGCTTTCAATAAAAATTTATTTTTAATGTCTTTTTAAAACAAAATCAGAGAAGTGTCCTTCTACTTAAGTTATAATTTCCAAAAGATAAAAGCACCTGCATTAAATAGGAAAACTAAAGCCAACACTCACTGTAGTCTAAGGACAATTAAACAGATCCAGTCTACTGGATCCTCTCCATCCTGCTTCACAGAGTTGATCATGGCCATTGGTGCACCTCTTAAATTCCTGCTGTTTTCACTGTGAAAGCTGCTGAGACAGAAAATCATTAAGAAAATTTGTTCACTACCATCGCACTAATGAGAAAACCATAAATCATATCCATGAAACAGTGGAAGTGGTAGTAGGTGTGGTACTAAGGTATCACTTTCCCATCCCTGGGCAAAGATCTCAAAATCAGTGGGAAAGGATGGTCAGGCTTTAGAATCTTTTAACTAAGTGCCATGGATGCTCAAAGTCCTTTATTCTGGTCTCCTATGACTATTCCTCTGTTCTGTGTTAAAAACTATAAAGCTCTTGCTGCAAAGAACAACTTAAGGTGTCTTGTCTACCATTTGTATTTTTGTGACATATGCGAAAGCTGCAACACACTAGTACAGCAAAACACTACACAGTTCTTGTGAACACTCCTGGTTTTATTGGAGCAATAAATTATTCTTCAAGTTTTTGTGATTTTTCAGAAATGTAGGGTTTGATACTGTTTCTGCAATGACTTCACTCCCTGTAGAGCCAAAAGTCTGTAAACAGCCCTAGTGTTTCTGCCTGGGT